GGGATAGAGAAGCCACCACCACTCTAGCACCAAGCTGTTGATAATCTTGAGTGTGAATTTTATAGTCCTCCATCTGCCCTCTCCCCATTGTGCTCTCTCAGATGACCAGTCCAGTAGAAGACACGAGGTGGGCTGTCAAGCAGGAGAGGTGGAAGAAATATGGCATAAGAAGGAAAAAGGTTTCATCGTGGTTAAAAGGCAGATTTAGGAAAAGGAAAGAAACAGCCTCCTCACCCAGTGCGTATCCTTGATGAGGGAGCAACCATGCCACCTTCTGGCTGACTCCTGCTTGGCTTGCCAAAGTTTCTGTCACTAAAAGGGTGAAGAAGATCCCCTATAAGAGAGTTCCTCAGAAGTCCTTCATATACAAAGCTCTTGAAATCCATGATGAAATGCATTTCAAAGGATTTCACACGAAAAAGGAAACCCAAAGGTGAAAGGCCAGCAAAGACAATCAGGGAGAAACACAAAGTAAGAAAGAAGCACTTTTATGATATGCAGGAGGTGAGAACAAAGAGGCTAAAATGGTGGTCCTCATTCCAGGTGTAGTTATGCCCTCTGAGCTGGAGGGTCCAGTTTGACCTTTTACCTAAAGACATGGTCATACCACCTGGCAACCTTTAATCACTTTGCTAAGTTCCCTAGCATGGAGACAACGGATTTATGGCGGGTTTGTTATTAACCCAAACATGGTTAGATAACGGATATAACTTTTACGGACATTATTTTTTATTCAAAGAATTAATTCACTAGGCACACCTTCTACTCTTGAGTTGTGTTACTCCTCTAAGGAGATTATAACTGACTCAACATCTAAAAGCAGGGATTATAGTGGAAAGAATGCAGATATACACCCTCCCAAAAAGAAATTTAGCTTTGATTGCTTTAGTGACTTCTTTTGGTCTTAGTTCCTGGTTTGGGCTATATACATACTTTTTCTCTAATTTTCACATCACTTTATCTATCTATCCTGCCTCCAGATAAACCCGTAAGTCTCCTTATCAAGGATTGGAAGTAGGAGATGGGCCTAGTTACCATCCTTGCTAATGCCACTTTTAATTAGAGGGAGTGGTCCTTAGAGGGGGAACATTTTCACCAGAGAACACACAATTAGTCCCATTAAATTATAAGGCCGTGCCTGCTGCCTGATTCCTTTGAGCTTTTTTGTTCAGGGATGAGCAGGCCAGAGGAAGGATCACTGTCTTGGTGGAGGTAAATAACACTAATATCAATTGGAAGTGGGCTGCTATCAAAAACTGTGGGGAGGCTGAGTGCAGTGGTACATATCTGTAATCCCAGCTACTCAGAAGGCAGAGACAGAGGATTTATGGTACAAGACCAGCCCAAGCACAAAGTTAGCGAGACCCCATGTCAAAAACAAGCCAGGTATGGTGACACATGCCTACTGTCCCAGCTACTCAAGAGGGAGAGATAGGTGAATCATGGTTTGAGGACAACCCAGGCAAAATTAGCATGAGACTCTATCTGAAAAAGGACTGGGGAGATGGTTCAAGTGGTAGGACACTTTCCTTGTAAGCATGAGGCTGAGTTCAACCCCTAGGACCACCAAAAAAAGAAAAAGAGCCAGTGTCTCAGGTCAGCTGTGATGGTAGCTGAGAACTGACAGTGAAGACGGGAGAAATCAGTTACCTATTATAGTCATGCTCATTTCAGTTTCTGGGATGTTCTGATTGAAATGGGGTCACATTTCCTTAATCATTTGAATGTCAAGCGATTTTTAATTTCATCATTAATAAGTTGGACTCTGTTGTCTTCCTCTGAAGGGTTTTAATGTTTTTGTTTTGTTAGGCAGTTAATTTGGTTGAACTCAAACTGCACAACAGCATAAATGAGAGCTCAGTCCTTTTGTCCTTAGTTGATTCTGTGCATGCTCCTCTCAGGTGTCAGCAAGTTTGTGCACAGAATCTGGGTTGCTCACTCTTTGAGTCTGGGATTGACCCCTCACTCTCCAGTGGCTGTGATTTCCCTTAGCCCTGTTTTTTGTGGTTTTTTTTTTTTTTAATCTCAAAAAAGACATGTTTTTATCAAATTATCCCCTTCTGTTACACAGACTGAAGCCTGTCTCCTGGCTTAAGCCATAAAAATGTGATTTAACCCTCCATCAATCTCTTCTTCCAAGTTTCAATTCTTGGGCCATTGGAGTGTGTGTGTGTGTGTGTGATTTTGTTGTTCTTGGTTCGTTGACTGATATAGCCCTACCACTTAGGAAACAGCATACATATAGATTAGTATTAATTGAATAAATGGTTCAAAACTGTTAATAATTTACATATAATTATATATAAATTAAATATTTTGTACCTACGGATATATGTCCCTTCATTTGTATGTCAAAGATCTGGTAAGTTTAAAAATAATTTTTTAAAAATGTGCTTATCAGTGATTTTGACCAATGTTTTTCAAAAGTGTGGTCCCCAAATAGCAGCATTTTTATCCCCTGGGTACTTCTTAAAAATGCAAATTCTTGCCCCCAACCAGTTTCTGAATTAATAAATCTCTGCCTAGGCCCAAGAATTTGTATTTCAAAAAGTGATGTTTTCACAAATACTTTGCACAATTTTGACGTAAACCAAAGTCTGTATATCACCGACGTAGACTCCTCTGTGTCTATTTTTTCACTACCTACATCTAATCATTTTTAGATATCATTGTCTCATTTACCAATGCTGAATTTAATTAATTTCTCACTGCACAAAATGTCTTCCAGCAATAATTTCTAGTGATCAGGAATACCTGTATTTCTGACTGTCCCAGGTATGGCACCCAGGTATCCAAGAGGTGTGGAAATGCACCATAGCCATAACCTGCAACTGTTTTATCCCTTTAAAGGGCAGGTTTTCTAGCGTGCTGGAGAGTGATGCATTTTGTACATCACACCAGACTTCTTCTTGGTATGAAAGTACTAATGGAAATGACCCTCACATTGCACTTTCTTCCCCTAACAGTAAATAAATTATTTGGAAGTGAGGGCATAATATCACTCAGTTCACCTTTCAACACATGCATGTGTGAGTATACACACACATCTTCCTTTCTCAATATTTAGACTTCATAATTCTCAGAAATGAAGAGGTTAGAAAGGTAGGAAAGTAAATGGGAAATATTTGCATTTAATCACCTATTTGTTTAAGGCCTATCATTATGCTAAACTATTATGTAGATGAAATATTTACTGATCAGGATTGAACAGGACTAGACATAGAGGTCCTGATTACTGACCCCTGTGTTCATTCTGAAGAATAAATAATGAACATGATGTGAAAAATATAAATGACAACATTCATGCCAAATATTATACTTTCTTTTTTTGAGATAGGGTTTAATTACATAACCCAAGCTGGCCTCAAACTCTTGATCCTCCTGCTTTGGATTCATGAATGCTGGGATTACAGAAATGTCTCACTAAACCTGGTAAAAATACTATATCTTCTAATATTACATATAATTAATGCTATATTAAAATACAAGTATGATAATTTACAATAGCATTTTTATACCATGTCTCTTTTTAATGCAACAGCTTAAATTTTAAAATAGTTCAGGTATATTTTTAAATCTCTGATTAAGAGTTAAAAAAAATCTGGATGTGCAATGGAAATAGGTCTGTGAAAATTCAAATTGATTCACAGGACCTTCTGGAACACATGGTTAAGAAGCAGTCTGAACCTGACTCTGGGCTAACTAAAAAAAAAAGTGCAGTGATCCATTAACAATATCTGCTAAGGGGCAGGACGGGGTATGGTGGCATTTGTTGCTGTACATTTTAATTCCCTGACTTCAGTACTTATATATTAGGATTTTGCACATGAGACAAAATGTAGTGACTATCCAAAAAACCACGTTCATTCACCTGTAATCACAGTTCATCTTTAGTCTTTAATAAAAGGGCAAATAGAAAGAATATTTTGTTACAGTTGTAATTAATTCTGTTAATGAAAGAACTTGTGTTTGATAGGAAGTCTTCATTAATTCCTGATATTCCTCATGAATGTCAAGTTTAATACCATAAATCTAAGACTTACTATCACTTGTGAATAAGCATAGTAACCTCTGTACTTTGCCAAACAACACTGTGGAGTAGCCTCAGTGATATTCTTAAAATAGTGTTGATTCACGAATATTAAAAATACTGGGGCTGATGGACTGACTCAAGTGGTAGAGTGCCTGCCTAGCAAGAGCAAGCCCGAGTTCAAACCCCAGTGCTGCCAAAAAAAAAAAAAAAAGTATTTTGATTGTGAAAATGATGCATATACACGATAAAATTTTCAAACAGTATACATACAAGGAGGTCTCACTCCCATTCCATACCCCACTCTTGTATTCCTGGGCTCAATGGCAAGTCTCAATGGAAACTACTATTAAGTTTCTTCTGAACATTTTTTGTTGTTGTTGTTTTTTGGTGGGACTGGCATTTGAACTTAGGGCCTCATGCTTGCCAGGCATTCACTCTACCACTTGAGCCACTCACTCCACCAGCCTCTTCTGGACATTTTTTAAAAACAAAATCTATTCACATACAAATATATGGAAAAAAATATATATATATATATACCCACAGAGAGACATAGTAGTTACATGGTTCAGTAATTTTTTTTGCATTTAACAGTATATCTTGTACATTTGTGTCCTTAGATGTGTTTTTTTCACTTTTTCTTTATTTTCTCTTACCAAGTTTTAGAAAAATAGAAACCTTTTTATAAAGCTTTCTGCTGATGCAGAAGCTAATATAGACATAAAGTAAGATTGGGGTGATAATATAAATGAGGAGGTCACACTCATTTGTAAAAGACAATGAACAGACATGCAAATTCAATTCTAATATGTGGTGTGTAAGTGCACAACACCCAGGCAACCCAGGAACTGAAAACATATTTAACATGTTCCTTCATTGCACTGAGTACTCAACTGATTCACAATTTTAATTCTTTATGTTTTAATCTTGACATGTAATTCATTAATATCAATGAACATGTAATTCACTGATAACTTGTATCTAAAAATAATATTTTCTGTAAAAGGTTTGATATCAAGTTTAAACTCTAATTTCTTCTCTCATGTATAACAAGGTGTGACTTCTTGCAAGAGGCTTTCTAACATTCTTCAAGTTCAGGAAATTTCTACATTGAAATAAAACCGTCAGTTCAGGCATTAAATTTCACTCAAATGATTCCTCTTCTGAATGAGTTTTCACATGTTTGGTAAGGGATGTGTTTTGTTTGAAGGATTTCCCACATTTGCTACATTCATATGGTTCCTCTCCAGTATGGGATCTCTGATGAATAACAAGTTGTGACTTTGCATTGAAGGCTTTCCCACATTCATTACATTCATAGGGTTTCTCCCCGGTATGAGTTCTCTGATGTACAATGAGGTGTGCCTTTTGGCTAAAGGCTTTCCCACAGTCATTACACTCATAGGGCTTCTCCCCACTATGAACTCTCTGATGTTGAGTAAGGCCTTCAATTTGTTTAAAGGCCTTCCCACATTGGTTACATTCAAAGGGACTTTCACCTGTGTGAGTTCTCATATGATAAGTAAGAGATGAGCTATGTCCAAAGGCTTTTCCACATTCATTACATTTATAAGGTTTCTCCTTTGTGTGAGTTCTTTGATGTATAATGAGGTGTGACTTCGCTGAAAGTTTTCCCACATTCATTACACTCAAAAGGTTTCTCACCAGTATGAATTCGCATATGCTTAGTCAGGGATGAGCTATATTTAAAAGCTTTGCCACATTCATTACATTCATATGGTATTTCACCTGTATGAGTTCTCACATGTTCAGTAAGAGATGAGTTATACCTGAAGGATTTTCCACACTCTTTGCATTCATAAGGCTTCTCACCTGTATGAGTTCTCACATGTTGAATAAGGTTTGAGCTGTGTCTGAAGGCTTTCCCACATTCAGTACATTCATAGGGCTTTTCCCCAGTATGAATCCTCAGATGGTCAGTGAGGGCATGTTTATGACCATGGGCTTTGCCACACTGAATACATTCATATGGTTTTTCTCCAGTGTGAGTTCTCTGATGAACCACAAGGTGGGACTTTTGGCTAAAGGCTATCCCACATTCACTACATTCATAAGGCTTCTCTCCAGTATGAACTCTCTGATGGTCAATGAGTCCTTGTTTATGGCTGAGAACCTTTCCACATTGATTACATTCATAGGGTTTCACACAAGCTTGAGTTTTGTCAGGCTTAGTACATGAGCTATGGCTGACTGATTTCTCACGTTTCTTTCCAGTTTGAATTTTGTCTTGCTTAGTAGGGGATTCATTATGATGGCATAATTTCTCATGTTTCTTGCTGGTTTGTGTTTTGTCACACCTATCAGATAAATTTTGGTTGGATAATTTCTTACATTTCTTTCCAGCTTGATTTTTGTCTTTCTTTCTATCAGATAAGCTATGACTCAATGATTTCCCATGTTCTTTAGCTATATCAGGTGTCTTTTTTGCACAGTTTTTTATTTGAGCAGGTAAGTCTAAATTCTGTTTCAAATTCTTTTCTTGTGAATCAAGCTTCTTTTTTGAAGTAATGTGTTTTGCATTCACAGTATGTTTTCTCTCCTGTGAACCACACTCCACGCCTTTCTTCTTAGTTGGAGTTTTCTTCTTGACTGCAACTTCCCTGATAGGTTTGTTTTGACACATCTGGTTATTCTCTGGCTGGTCATCATCTTGCTCAGCTTCTTCTAAAATGGGATTCAATGAAACATTCTTGTGAATTTTTGCACTATCACTTAAGTTCTTTATAAGTTTTTATAGAGAAAAGCCCTGTTGTGGGTTCAATCTTTACTCAATGCTAACATCCCAAAGTGAAATAAATATCAACAGCAAATATCCTATCCTCTTGGGCTTGAAGGAGGAAATGATGTAGTAAAACCAGGGAAAGAAACTGACAATAGTGATTAAAAACATCCTTGGCTGCTCAAAAATATGACTGAAGATGAAATAAAGACAAGAAGCAAAAACCAGGAAGAACAATACTACATTAGAAGAGCTTGTGATTGTAATTGGTACTTTTTGGGTCTCTCCTCAGCCTTAGTTGCCCAGCTCTGATAAATGCCAATCAACCCATAATATTTGGAGACTGTGACCTATACTATATTACTCCAACTCTCTATGGTCAATTGGAGACACATCTGGCTCAACCCAAGATATCTAATGAGATTCTTCTCCTAAAAATTTAGACTCTAGGTAGTCTTAACCTAGTGCTTAAATTTTAAAATGACATAAGGCAAGTGCTAGTAAAACCATATTTTCCCTATGTAAATGAAAAATACCTAGAATGAAAAGAATGAAGCATTAGCACATAATCAGAAATGTAAGATTGTCCTCAGGGACACTGTTTTCATAATTTCAATTTCCACTGGTCTCCTAGTTCCTGGTGCGGTATGGCTGAGTATCTGCCCTTAGGCTATAAAAGATATACCCATGCTTTTATCATAAATTCTTTTAGTTACTAAGGATAGCTACAGTAAATTAGAATAGAGAATGGAAGATGAGTCTACAAGGAGAATTGAAGAGCTAGTAGGCAGTCGAACACTGGTGGCTCACACCTGTAATCCTAGCTACTTGGGAGGCCAAGATTTGGAAGATCACAATTTGAAGCCAGCTCAGACAAATCGTTCATAAGAGCCCATCTCCAAAATAACCAGAACAAAATGGACTGGAGGTCTTGCTCAAGCAATAGAGTGCCTGCTTTGCAAGTATAAAACCTGAGTTCAAACTGCAGTCTTACCAAAAGAAAAAAAGAGCAAGAGAGCTAATAGGCAACTGAGGAAACAAGAAAGAGTGTTCCACTGTATCACCCATGAAAAACATAAGAACATTCATGCACTAAAACAAACAAATAAAAACCCCACCATACTGTTTCCTGATGCCTGTTACCAAATGATAAAGTTCATAGTAATTAGCTTGGGAAACAAACTTTATATCATCTGGATTTACAGTGTACATGCATACTTGTTTGCCAACAGTTTACCATGGAGTACACACCTTTGTTCTCATCAGGTCATTCTAATTGCCAAATACAAATTTCAAGTTTATTCCCAGCTCTAAGCGTTTGCTCACATTCTTTTCCCAAACATTACACAATTATACAGTTTGAGATATCTTCTTAATCAGTTGCCCTTCTTAAGACCACCACCTACCATGACAAGTGTAGGCAGCCATGTTTATACTCTATGACCCAACTTCTGGCTTTAAACAATTATTGGACAGTGGTAAACATCAGGATTGAGATAGTCCAATAACATTCTTTCTCTTAAGAATTTGGAATTGAAGGGTTGGGGCATAGTTCAAGTGGTAGAATGTCTGTCTATCAAGTGCAAGGCTCTGAGTTCAAACCCAGAAACACATAAACAATTGGAATTGAAATTCAAAGACTTCTGTAAGCTAGTTCCTATCACTTAGGAGCTGTGGTTGCCACTTATGGTAGCCTTTTTCAGCTACAAAATGGAAATGTAGGAAATGCTTCAGTCTGAGAATTTAAAAGACTCAAAAAGAGAAGCATGTGAGTTCCTAAGACCTGAGAAAGAAAAGAGAGAAAGTGAATAGCCACCTTGGTGATAAAGAAACATTATATAGAGAAAGTACAAACTGGACTCAAACAGGAAAGAGTTAAGGTGTCTCAATAGATAGCCAGGAAACACTACCACTTTTGTGTTATAGAGGACATTTAAGTGATCAGTTCCAGTGGAGTAGAAGATCAACTTTTGGAAGTAGAGATATAGTCAGGAGCCTAGAGAAGTGGAGTCACTCGCTCATTCTTCATTTAGGAAATTGTAGAGGTGCAGATCCCTGGGAGAAAGAGTTTAATAGGACCTTCCAAATAGTATGACAAGTCTGTGTCTCCCAATGCCCCAGGATGATGGGGGAAGATGGGCAAATTTCCTTCTAGGAAGAAAGGAATCAAAACTCAAGCCTTTCCCTTTGACATGCAACTTATGAGAAACTCTTAAAATGATGGCTTGGCTGGTTGCAACTATCATCCTCCCCCTCAAAAAGTAGAAATCACTAAAAGAAAAATTCATGGTGAGTATAAGGAGGAGAGCTGGTATATAACAGGATCTGAACTAGAGAACTGGTATGTAACAGGATCATACTAGGGGACAGTTGGGTCTAGAAAAGCACTTGATTAAGTTGGAAGCTTTTCCTGAATTTAAGATAGCAATTAAAACATAAATGTTAAGCCAAAACAATTATAACTAAAGAAACCTAAGTATGAAGTTCATTAGGCCCAGCAAATCACTGGAGGGAAAAGCATATTATTCCCATGAAAAACTTCCAAGTACTATAAGAACCAAGAATGAGAAAGAAACATTAAATGACTCAGGATTAGTTTTCAGTTGTAACACTAAGTCAGCAGGTTAGGACAGTGAAAACTGGAGTCAGTAATGGATGGATCAGACACTCTATGGGGTCTCTTTGTCATTTTAAGGGCTGATCTCTCCTGTCTCTGAAAATTCACAGTGTCTCAGACAAATCAGGGTCAGAGGAAACTGTAAAAGATATGGAAGGCATTCTGGTAATTTGGAGACAGTAAATAACAACTGAGTATCTTAATGTTTGGTGGTAACATCTAAGATTAATTAGAAAAAAAATGGATTCAATCAACCCCTAGGAACAATTAGAAATGAGATAAGATGAACCTGTTTGATGTGATAACAGTGAGAATTGAGGAAAAAAAAAAAAACAGTAACTGAGGATGGTAACTCATGGGAGAGAGGCCTAAAAGCAGAGTAAACCCTAATAAAAATAGGAATCTGAAAGCTAAACAGGGAATGCTCTTTCTGCATAGATCTCCAAATGAAGATCATGTACAGTATGGCTACAGCAAAACATAAATCTTTCTCATTGTAAGCCACTAAGATTTGGGGATCATTCCTTAATGGAGCAAAACTTAGTCTAGACTGATGGGTGTAAGTGGAATAACCAAACTCCCATAAGTAACCCTGGCTCACTACTATAGGGAACTTCACAGGAGAACCTCTGATGTGGATAGGTTCATAGAAGGAAGAGATATTAAAATCTCTAAGGTCAGGAAATCTTTGTATTTTGAGTTCTTTTTCTTCTGGGAGACTCTGATATTTTTCTACTGCTGTTTCCTGGTTAAGAAAAAAAATGGTATGAGATCTTTAAGAAGAATTTAAGCATAAATTAATCTTTGAAGACTTCCCAAGTTACCATCAAGAAACTAAGAACTTACTTTCACTAGTTCCCATTTGCCTGGGTCTTGCTATTTTACTCAGATGACTTTGACTGGGTCTTTTCCCCTCCTCCAGCCAGGGCTCTTCTCTTTTTTCCAACTTGGAGATAACATCTGGTTTGGGAGCTTGACACCCTGGTCACAAGAAATGGTAGAAACTGAGTGTTAGAAGAATCATCCCAGAAATCAAGCCCAAATGTTTGTACTTCATGGCCTTTCAAGGCTAACAAATATATGGCTTCTGAAGTTTCACAGTGTGGATGCCCATGTAACCCAACTGAGTGGACCCTCCATTTTAGGGGCAGTGGCACGAGTATCGTGCCTAGTACCCAAAAAGGGATTTAAACTCTTTGACCCACAAAAAACCAAGACCAAACCTACTAAGGACTTCAAGAAGAAGGCATCACAGTGAACACATTTGAATGACAAGGAAATTGTCCTCACCCATTGAGTCTCGGTTGCTGTAGTTTTCCAGCATCACATCCTTGTACAGGTTCCTCTGAGCAGGACCCAGTTGCTCCCATTCCTTCTGAGTAAAGGCCATAGTCACATCTTTGAATGTCACGGATCCCTGCAACAGCATACTCCTGTTGAGTCTAGGGTCTCCCACATTTGGTGAGTGAGTTGTACAAGATAGTAACTTTTTCCTATCTTGACCACTCATTATTCACCATGATGTTATATAGGATACCAATTCTCTACACAGTTTTGCACTTTTTTGGGAAACAAAATCCATATTAAGAAATGTCTCTATTTAAGAGGACAAAATCATACAGATATAAAGTATCAGAAAGGCAATTAACAACAGAAAAACAGAATCAGTCTTTATTTTTTCTTCCATAACAATGGTGTTAAAGGTTATAAAGCAATATCTATAGTTTATCAAGTTCTGAGGTAGAAGATTTGAGACTCTTGCTTTATAATTATTACCAGTCAAAAAATCATTTATGTTTGGAGGAAAAAGTAGGACATTTTAGGCATGTCAGAAATTATACTGCCTTAGAAATAAAGTGATTTCCTGTATGAGTATTAACTCAAAATGGATCAAGGACCTTAATATCAGACCCAAACTCTAAAGTTGATACAGGAAAGAGTAGGAAATACTTTGGAACTAATAGGTATAAGCAAGGACTTTCTCAATAGAACCCCAGCAGCTCAGTAACTAAGAGAAAGCATAGACAAATGGGACCTTATAAAACTAAAAAGCTTCTGCTCAACAAAAGAAATGGTCTCTAAACTGAAGAGACCATCCACTGAGTGGGAGAAAATATTTGCCAGCTACACATCAGACAAAGGACTGAAAACCAGAATATACAGGGAACTCAAAAAACTAAACTCTCCCAAAATTAATGAACCAATAAAGAAATGGGCAAGTGAACTAAACAGAACTTTCTCAAAAGAAGAAATTCAAATGGCTAAAAATCACATGAAAAAATGCTCACCATCTCTAGCCATAAAGGAAATGCAAATCAAAACTACACTAAGATTCTACCTCACCCCTGCTAGAATAGCCATTGTTAGAAACACCACCAACAACAGGTGTTGGTGAGGATGTGGAGAAAAAGGGACCCTTATACACTGCTGGTGGTAATGTAAACTAGTACAACCACTCTGGAAAAAAATTTGGAGGCTTCCTAAAAATCTAAACATAGACCTGCCATTTGATCCAGCAATACCACTCCTGGGGATATACGCAAAAGAATGGGACACAGGTTACTCCAGAGTTACACGTATACCCATGTTTATTGCATCACTATTCACAATAGCCAAGTTATGGAAACAGCCAAGATGCCCCACCACTGACGAATGGATTAAGAAAATGTGGTATTTATACACAATGGAATTTTACACAGCCACGAAGAAGAATGAAATCTTATCATTTGCAAGTAAGTGGATGGAACTGGAGAACATCATCCTGAGTGAGGTTAGCCAGGCCCAGAAGACCAAAAATCGTATGTTCTCCCTCATATGTGGACATTAGATCAAGGGCAAACACAACAAGGGGACTGGATTTTGATCACATGATAAATCAAGTGCACACAAGGGAGGTATGAGGATAGGTAGGTAACCCCCTCCCCCAAAAAAAGATAGCATTTGATGTTTTCAGTGCAAAGGAAAGAATGCAGAAACTTTAAAGCAACAGAGGCCAATAGGAGAAGGGGACTAGGAACTAGAGAAAAGGTTAATTCAAGAAGAATTAATTTAGAAAGTAATACGTATGTACATGGAAACGATGCTAGGAATCTCCCTGTATAGCTATCCTTACCTCAACTAGCAAAAACCCCTGGTCCTCCTTATTAATGCTTATACTCTCTCTTCAACAAAATTAGAGATAAGGGCAAAACAGTTTCTGCCTGGAAGCAAGGGGGTGGGGGAAGAGGGAGGGGGTCAGAGAAGGGAGGGGGCAGGGGGAAGGGGGGAGTAATGAATGACCCAATCATTGTATGCACATATGAATAAAGGAAATTAAAAAAAAGAATAAAGTGATTGAATCAATTACTTACACTACTTTAGAAATGAAGAAGGGAGGGAGGGAGTCAGAGAGAAAGAGAGAGAGAGAAAAGGAGACAGAGGAAACAGAATTTTTAAAAATTTTATTATCATATTATTTTTGTACTGGGGGTATATTGTGACATTTACAAAAGAGCATACAATGTATCTTAGTCAAATTCACCCCTCCATCAATTCTCCTCTCCTACCCTCCTTTTTAGAATAGATTCAACAGGTCTCATTTTTCCAGGAGGAATTTTTAAACAAAGAAAAATTGGATCAGAATAAAAATGTCAAGCTTGGGAAGGCCTAAATATATAAGAAAAAGCTATGAATAATAGAACCAATAAAATATCCACTTAAATCTAAGTAACTTGATAATATGCTTATGCAACTGTTACAAAAATATCCTTAAAATCAAAAAGTATGACATAAGAAAAATAAGCAGGAATGTAACTGGGTGGTGTTGGAGGCAGGGGAGAAACTGAAGTATGTTAAAGTTCTTCTCTTATGAGGCAGGTGAGCAGAGGAGGGCGAGGCTATTGGAGAATTCTGATACTAATAAATGAACATTCAAACATATTTGTTTAGCATGTAAAGATAATCCTTTACTCCCACAGACTAATCCGTGATCTGCATGTTACTAATCTCTAGCCTGACAAACCTCCAATCATGGATTCTTAATAACCCCCATCATTGACCTCACTGGCCTCCCAATCACTGGGCAGTACAGCCCTCCTTAGTCACTAAGCCTCTAACTCCAAAATGGCCACAGCAAACTAACCACTAAGAGCAGCAGATTGACCCAATCATATATTCCCATAGACATTCCAACCACATATTCCCACAGGTTCTTCAACCATTAGGACCCACAGGACACATGTATCTCTGTCTCCCCTGTGTCCCCAAATACCTCATTCTCCAGTCACTGACATAAACAGAACTCTCTAACAGCAGTCATTCCAGAAACCCTAAACACTGTCAGCAAAATCCTCTCTATTCTCCACCTTTTTAGACATTCCCATCCCCTGCTTGCTTTAACTAAAATTGACATGTTTCCTAAGCATTCTGATTCCTTACGGTGGTCTCAAGGGGATGTACCTTAAGAGCTTAATCCACCTTCAAAACCCCTAGCTTGCTTACAGTGTCACCCATTAACCTTTCTTGGCTCATTGATTCAATAGGAGGATTCACAGGACTCAACATGTAGCTGAATACACAGATATGATCTATTACAGCAAGAGAGTACAAAAGACATCAGTTTATCAGTATGAGATGAAGTTCCAATAAAACCAGGCCCAAGAATCCTCTCCCTATGAAGTCACTCAAGACGTGTTCAATTCCTACAGAAGTGAGTTTGGGCAACAGGAAAGCTCAAAAGACATTCAGTCATGTAGGGACCTTCTAGTTACATGTACAAGAATTCCAGACTCCCAGAAAGAAATCAAATATTCAATATAAACCACATTTTTGTGTGGGGTAGAGTGGGACCGGGGTTTGAACTCAAGGCTTTGACCTTGCAAAGTGGAGCCACACCTCAGGTCCATTTTGCTCTGGTTATTTTGGAGATGGGAATCTCATGAAGTATTTGCCTGGGCTGTCCTTGAACCATGATCCTTCCAGTCTCAGTCTCCCAAGTAGCTGGGATTACAGGCATGAGCCACTGGCACCTGGATCATAAACCATCTCTTTATATAATGTATTCAGAGGGGGCCACTTTTATCAGTTCTGGGAATGGTGGGAGCCCTCCTGAAATCTAATTTCTCAGATGCCAACGAAAGGTACACCTTACAAGCAGACCTAAGGGTAGTAGTTTTAGGCCTGCAGGGTTAACTCTTGCATTTGTCCTGCCTTATTCACTGAAAACTTTAGCATAAACTTCCTCTTTGCTAGAGCTCCTTCCATCATTCATTCTGTACTACCTCTGAATCAATGTAGAAAAGCCATTCAACAGCCTGGCCTCTCTCTTTACTGATGCTAACATTTTCTTCCATCAACATCAGCCACCTACTCATCACGCTCCATACCTTTATAACTTGCTCTCATTATACCACTTCCAAACTCTACTTCAAACGTTCTACTCTCTGACCATCATTTCCTGTCCTGCCAGCTCACTTTCCCTTCTACTACCACTTCAGTAATTCTCCATACTCATTGAGCCCTGTGACTCACTGATCCTAGTCACTTTTTCACAATCTTCCATCCCCACATATACTTACTCCATAAAGCCAGCACCCTGCACACCCCATTGAAACCTTTAAAGCTTAACATCCTGTCCCTCTTCTCGTCCACTGTACTCGCCTATTGATCTTGCTTAAATCCAACTCATCTCTTAACATCTGTCTGCAATCTTGCAACTGAACACTGCAAGAGAAAAATCAAACAACTGTGCTGTCTGAACTCACTTCATACTTATAATACATATCTCAAACAAACATCCAATACTGCCAGCAGTCCTACTGCTTACCCCTGGGAAATTCACCTCTCCTCTTTCCAGGATGATTGCTTCAAATCTTTTCTTCTTTCTGAAATCTCAAACAACTATTCTTTCTCCCCTCTCAGCTGAAGAATTTGCTTTATACTTTAAAGATAAAATAAATGCAAACGTTCTCAATGAAACCCCAGCAGCACAGCAACTAAGAGATAGCATAGATAAATGGGACCTCAAAAAACTAAAAAGCTTCTGTTCATCAAAAGAAATGGTCTCTAAACTGAAGAGAACACCCACAGAGTGGGAGAAAATATTTGCCAACTATACATCAGACAAAGGACTGATAACCAGAATATACAGGGAACTTAAAAAACTAAATTCTCCCAAAATTAATGAACCAATAAAGAAATGGGCACGTGAACTAAACAGAACTTTCTCAAAAGAAGAAATTCAAATGGCCAGAAAACACATGAAAAAATGCTCACCATCTCTAGCAATAAAGGAAATGCAAATTAAAACCATGCTAAGATTCCACCTCACCCCTGTTAGAATAGCCATCATCAGCAACACCACCAACAACAGGTGTTGGCGAGGATGCGGGGAAAAAGGAACCCTCTTACACTGTTGGTGGGAATGTGGACTAGTACAATCACTCTGGAAAAAAATCTGGAGGCTACTTAAAAAGCTGGACATTGATCTACCATTTGATCCAGTAATACCACTCTTGGGGATATACCCAAAAGACTGTTACTCCAAAGGCACCTGCACATCCATGTTTATTGCGGCACTATTCACAATAGCCAAGTTATGGAAACAGCCAAGATGCCCCAGCACTGACGAATGGATTAAGAAAATGTGGTATCTATACACAATGGAATTTTATGCAGCCATGAAGAAGAACGAAATGTTATCATTCGCTGGTAAACGGATGGAATTGGAGAACATCATTCTGAGTGAGGTTAGCCTGGCCCAAAAGACCAAAAATCGTATGTTCTCCCTCATATGTGGACATTAGATCAAGGGCAAACACAACAAGGGGATTGGACTATGAGCACATGATAAACGCGAGAGACACAAGGGAGGGGTGAGGATAGGTAAGACACCTAAAAAATAGCTAGCATTTGTTGCCCTTAACGCAGAGAAACTAAAGCAGATACCTTAAAGCAACTGAGGCCAATAGGAAAAGGGGACCAGGAAGTAGAGAAAAGGTTAGATCAAAAAGAATTAACCTAGAAGGTAACACCCACGCACAGGAAATCAATGTGAGTCAATGCCCTGTATAGCTATCCTTATCTCAACCAGCAAAACCCCTTGTTCCTTCCTATTATTGCTTATACTCTCTCTACAACAAAATTAGAAATAAGGGCAAAATAGTTTCTGCTGGGTATTGAGGGGGGGGAGCGGGAGGGGGCGAGTGGGTGGTAAGGGAGGGGGTGGGGGCAGGGGGGAGAAATGAACCAAACCTTGTATGCACATATGAATAATAAAAGAAAAATGAAAAATAAATAAATAAATGCAAATGGACAAAAATCACCTTGCCCTGCTGCCACCAATTCCACTATTTCCAAACCCTTATATAACATGGTCTTTCTTTCTTCCCACACCATTTTCTCCACTTACACTCTTGATCCAGTCTCCAGGCTTCCTAAGGACTTTGCCCTGCAATTACCTCTTTCTCTTTTGTACCCACCCATTTCTCCTTTCTACTTGCTCAATTCCATTGACATACAAAGTTGCCTTAATATTACTCATCTGAAGAAAACCCTCTCTTGAGATCAGGTTCATCCATTGCTGTTTCTCTACTTCCTTTACCAACAAGATTCTCATAAGCATTGTCTGTACTTGCTGTTTCCACTTCATTATCTTCCAATTCTTTCAACTCACTCCAACAGAGTTTTACTCTTTTCACCCTAATCAACCAAAGTAACCATTGAGCTATAGCTTGGCAAAGTCAAATTCTCTGTAGTCATATTTTGAGGCTCACAAAAGTACATGACATAACTGACTACTCTTCATTGTTTTAAACAGCTTTCTGGCTGGCAGAGTGGCTCAAGTGGTAGAGTGCCTGCTTAGCAAGTGTGAGGCCCAGAGTTCAAGCCCTACTACCACACACACAATGATTTTTCTCCTATGCTTCTCTGACAGCATACTTGCGTTTTCCTCCAAACTCAGTGACTACCCCTCATTCTTCTTCTGGTTTTGTTTGGCCTCTAATTGCCAAAGTAACCCAGACCTGTTGCAGCTCTACCTGCTATTCTCTTCCTAAGTGATCTCAGTCAGTCTTAGACTTTACTACCATATTTACACTGCTGCCCAGACCTCTCCTAAGTTCCAGATCCCACATCTAATGGCTACACATATCTTGGAAGTGTAATGGGCATCTTGGTGTGACTAAAACCACTGTCATCCACCCTCAATCCCATTTCCACCCACCAAATACAGTTTTCTCCAACACTATCCCTTTTCAGAAAACAGAATCATCATTCATTCAGTTTCAGAGCCCGGAAGTCTATGTGTAAATGCTGATTCTTCTCTTACCTCACGTTCTGCATCAATTCATCAGTAAGTCCTACTGGCTTATGTCCAGATGTACTCTGAATGATTTCATTTTTTTTGCTACAATCCTATTCTAAATCAGCAGTATCATCTCTTGCCTTTGACTACTGCAATCAACTTCTAACTGACCTCCCTGTACCTGCTCTTGCCTCTTTGCAGTCATGGTAACCTTTTTGAAGTGTTAATCAGATCACTCCTGCCTAAACTAAATGGTTTCTCATTGCAATCAGAATAAAATCCAAATCCTGGTCCTAACCAATAAGACCCTGCATGATCTGGTACCCTCCAACTACTCTGATTTCACATATTTCTACTCTCCCTCTGAGTATGCTCCAACCACATTATTATTCTTTCTGTTTTTTAAGCACACCAAGTTCACTCCTACCTCATAGCCTTGACAGTTGATGCTTCCTGTTCCTTGAACACCCTTTCCTCAGATCTCTGCATGGCCACCTGCTTGTCATGATTTATGCTCAACTTGTCTGTCATTTCCTCAGAAAGATTTGCCAGGACTAGTGTGGCTAAAATCACACATTCCTAACCTCAATCAATCTCTACCATATTATCCTCTTTTACATTTTTCATAGCACTTACTAATGCCTGCAATTATCTTATTTGTTTATATTTCTATTGTCTTTTTCCTATTTCTAGAATGTAAAGGCATTGAGGAAGAGATTCTGGCTCTGTTTCCTGGTGTATCCTCACTACTTAAAACACTCCCTGAATAAAATATGTGTTCACCTTAGTCTATCCTACATGTTCCAAATCACTTTCATTAGAATACTCCTTAGTCACTAGTATTCACAAACTTTATGGAACCCCACAAGTTCCCAATGACCATTCTTCACAGAACAGTCCATCATTAACCTCCACTGAACTGTACTCACGGACCCCTACAGAACTTTCCATCACTGAACTCTGCAATCCCCCAAACTCTTGACCCCATAAGGATCCTAGTCACAGACTCAGAAGACCTTTACCCATTAATTTCTTCTAATCACCTCATCACTGAAAAGTAAGAACAGTTAGGCCTCCTAGATACCACCTAATCCTCAAGCACGTTTTCTTCCCAGGCCTCCTATAAATCACCTACTGTCCCCACACACACCCCAGCATTGCCTCCTCACATTCTACCAACCACTGTCCCCAGGTTCCCCCACTATCCCTCGTAGCACACTAATCACTGACTCTCAAAGATACAGTTAATCAGCCTTCCACAAAATCACTATCACGGACCCCCAAGCAGGCAGTCACTCAACTCCCCAAACTAAATTTTAACACTGCCCCTCTTTGACGGTTCAGTCCCTAACCATCACAGGTACCCATCATGGCTTGGCTCCCATGGACACTCAAAATCCTAACGCCACAGACCTTCTCAATTTCTGACACATCACAAAGCCTCCAATTTCTGAACCCCGCCCCCAACTTTCCAAACCCTGACCTGTCAATGACTGCTACAGATGCTTCCTCCTTCCGCTCCTGCCATCACTGTTTCCACAGATCCCTGCAAACGCTGATATCCTAAAACTACAGCAATCACGGGCCCAGATCCCTCCGAACACTGACCTCTCAAAAGACCCCTGAGTATCGACTCCACTAATTCCCAAATCTTAGCTTTACAGTCCACACTAACAATCTCAACCCGCCCCTATCCCATTACCTCCTTCACTGCGTCGCTGCCCGCGGGCTCGGACCCAGCCATCTCGGGTGGATGCCGGGCCTCCTCGGCCGCACCCGCACTCCTCCTCGGGTCCACGGCCTCCGGCTTTGTCAGGCTGCAGCAAGAGGCCGATATGGCTGCCGCCCCGAGCGCGGCCTCAGCGGGCCCCGCGGCTGCGATGGCGGCGCCCTTAGGCGATCACCTACGGGAGCGGCCATCTTGGGAAAGCCCCCTCCGTACAGTGGAGGCGCGGGGGCCTCTGGGAGCTCTCGCGAGGCGTTTAGGGGTTGGGGTGGGGGTCGCTCGCGCGGTCCCGAAGTCGCGAGACGCCAAACGCGCGCTCATGGCAGTAATCTGTTGCAGAACTTGTTGCTCTTCGGACTAAGTCGTTTCAGCCCGCTGTAAGGAAACCCGGAATCACGGTGCCTAGGGCACTCCAGAGAACTCCGACGATAAACGAAACAGTAGCTGGCCGCAGGTGGCTCACACCTTTAATCCTGCCAATTTGGGAGCCTCAGATCGGGAGGACCGTGGTTCGAAGCCAGCCGGGGCAAATAGTTCTGGAGACCCTATCACGAAAATACCCAGGGCAAAATGGACTGAGGGTGTGGCTCAAGCAGTAGAGCGCCTGCTTTGCAAGCAGGAGCCCTGAGTTCAAACCCCAGTCCCACCAAGAAAAGAAAAGGAAATAACATTGATAACATTGCTTAATAGGGAGGGGACTTTGAGAGAGATGATAAATCTTCTCACTTATGGTATAGAAACAATGGAGGGGGGGGTATCAGGTTAAGTAAGCAAACCACTCCTCTGGAAGAGCCCTGTTTTGGTGGAGCTATTAGGATAGAATAACCAAGCAATTGGAACAAAAATAATTTCTCTACGCGCTCCTTCATGTGTTCATTCATTGAACAGTTACGAGGCGAGTTTACACGTACGGACGGCTGCGCTCTGCTGATACTGAAGAAAGAGCGGACTCAGATGCAGCCGTTCCTCTGCTGGAACTCCCAGTGGGGCAGAGGTAATCCTAAACACCGTGTTCCTTTTTCCTGAGTCAGATATCCCTACTTTGCATCTTTGTGTCTTCCATGAGAGTGAATGGGGGACTGGCTGTCCTTCTGTCATCTGTGATGGCATGCGCTGTCCTTGATCTCTCTTTTATCTGAGTGCAATTCTTAGTACTTCTTCACTGAGCTCGTAAAAAAGACTCCCCTAGACTGCCTATCCCTCCCCTCCGAACAGTTCCTGTCTCCTCTCCCTCACCTATTACTGAATTTTTTTCTAACTTCCTTTCTGTTCCATAAATCACAGTGATATTATTCCTACTCATTTAAAAACAATTCCAACAGTGTTTTCCTCCCTAGTGTTCCAGCAACTCCAGGACCTGGAAAAGTGTCTCATGAATTCATACTGTGTTTAAATAGAATTCTAATATGGTCCCCATTATCTCTGTGCTCTGGAGTTCTATACCCTTCTGACACCCCCTCTCCTTGATGTAGGAGGAACCTGTGATTTGAAGAAATATCACTCCATGATGAGGTCCCAAATCAGTTGACTTTAAGTTTATAAAAATGGAGATTTTCCTGAGTGGGCCTGACCTAATCAGGCAAGTCTTTAAAAGGGTCTGGACCCTTCCTGAAAGTGGAGACTCCAAACACCTCAATTTCAGACACTGCAGCATTAGTCGTAGAGCCTATGGGATATGCAGATTTATAAGGAAATTTATTATAGGGAATTGGCTCAAATGACTTTGGAGACCAAGAGTCCCACAATCTTCCATCTGTAAGTGGAAAACCAGGAAAGTAGATGGTGTGATCCAGTCTGAATGTAAAGTCCTACATGGAGGATGGAGAGGGAATATATAAATCCTAGAATCCGAAAGTTTGAGAACCAGGAGCTGTACAGTCATAGGGCATAGTACCTGCTGCTGAAGAAAAGAGAATTCATACTTCCTCTGATGTTTTTTTCCCCATCAGGCCCTAACAGATTGAATGATGGCCGCCCACATTGATGCTAACAATGGCAGTGTCTTCCTACCTCACAGGTACACCTAGAAATAATGTTTTACCTAGTGATCTGGACATCCCTTAGCCCAATAAACCAACACTTAAAGTTAGCCTCCACATCAGCCATACCACGCTCAGGCTTCCAGTTTACAGAAACTGAGATAATAACTTTGTGCTGCATTAATCCATTAAAGTTGGTGATAATTTGTTACACAGTAATAGAAAACTGTCACTTAGTGAGGCTTGGAAAATAACTGAGTGATTGAGGATCCTCGTCACCTGTTTTGGACACAGTCCTCTTCCTGGTATCCCTCAAAGAATATTCTTTGATAATCACCTCTCTAGATGTGAGCAATTGCTTCTCCTCCTCAGATATGGTCCTGGCTTTAATCTTTTCTGATATTACATCGCTGATCAGATCTAAAGCTTACATTTTTAAATAGAGGTCTCTGTTTTCCATTTCAGATCGGGGAGAAGAGAGGCACACCAGTTCCCCAAGGTTTTCTTTAATAATCCCAGTATTCCCTCACAAATCCAAACAAATCCCACATATTTATGGCAAAATGCTGTTCTAAACCTTAACTGTTTTCTAAGCCATTTTGATTCAAGTAATCAATCAGTCCTTTTCAGGACAGTCTTTGGGAGAAGAGAAGTAAGGAGAAAGAACTGAGTGGGAAAGTGCAGGGAGGCAGACTAAGGACATTCCCTGCACTGAAGAGAAGGAAGAAAGGAAGTTGGAAGAGTAAGTGGGAAGAAGAAGGGGATTGGTGAGCATAGGCTGTGGCTTGGTGACTAGGAAATTTTCAGTGTCCTAATGAGACTCAATCAGTTCTCCACAGGGCAAATCATCAATTTCCTACTTGAGGATAAATAGAAAAAGAGAAAATATTGCAGTTGAGTCAGTTTTGTAAAGACTGTAAGGATCAGTGTGGGTTAGATATTTGTATGTTATTTATTGAGTATATTAAGACTTTTTCAATTGAGTAAAAAAAATTGTAATATCAAAGACAACCCTTGAAATTTTTTTATCCTTTTTAAAATCTCTGTTATCTCCTCTGGTGTCTGGTGACCTATACATATACAATTCTAGGTATCTGTGTTAGTTAGATTTTTCTCATGACTGTGATAAAATACCTAAAAGATCAACCTAAGGGAGGTAGGATTTGGTTTGCTCATGGTTTCAGAGGTTTCAGACCATCCTGGTGTGGAAAATGTGGCAGAGCTCAGCGACTCAAAAAATGGAAGCCAGGAAGCAGAGAGAGAATGCTTATTCTAGGAGATTTCTCTTTTTTTCCATCAGTGCCAGCCATATTCAGGGTAAATCTTCACCCCTTCATCATCCTCTCTGGAAATCCCTCACTGATACCCCCAGAGGTGTGCTTTACTAATCTCCCAGGTGCTTCTCCGTCCAAATTTATAATCAAGTGTAGCCATCACAGGCCCTGTCCCCCAAATTATCCCATATTTCAGGACTTTAGCATGGAGATTGTAATAAAATACTCCCTAAGAAGTGTCCTAAAAACTGATTTTGTGTAAGTTTCTACCAGAAAAAGAGAGAGAACCATGTGATTCCAAAAACGGGGTTTTTTTCTCCTTCACTCATCATTTAACAGTGCATTAATAAACAACTATTTTTTGAGCGTCAACTACGAGCTAAGATTTGAGGATATAATAATGAGAAAAATATTAAAACATGGTCCTTGTGTGGAGATTAGGATTTAGGAAAGGAGACAAGCCTCATTCAATAAGCACACAAGTCATGTAAAAATATAACTATGATAAGTATTTGAAGGAAGGATAGATGGTGCTCTGAGAGCCTGTGGTATAGCCTTAGGAGTTTGGCAACTGTGTCTGAAGAAAGACTTTTGGGTTGTAACATCTGAACCGGAATTAACTAAGATGGCAGTTCAGAAGAAGGAACTGCAGGCACAGAGGCTGATACCACACTCCAACCCTAATCTCTGCAAAGAAGAAACTGGAACCCTACAAGAATCCTTTGAGAGCACTCCCAGGTCTTGACCAGTCCCTTCTTCCTCTTTTGGTGGTACTGGGGTTTGAACTCAGGACCTTATGGCAGCTTAGCAGGCACTCTACTACTTGAGCCACTCCACCAGCCCTCAGTCTCTTCTTTCTCCATCCTTCACAGCTCATCGCTAATCTGCCTTCTTTTCAAAGGACAAGTTCCCTTGGAGAAAACACCTTCCTGTGCTCTGTGTAAAGGACTTTCCCCCTGTGTTCTCAAGGCTAGGGCTCCTGTTGTTTGTACCCCTCCATTTCATCTGCGTCCACCCTCCTGGCAATAATGGTAAGAAACGGAGGAAACAGAAAGAGTGGATGAAAGCAAGTAGGACGCTATGAGGAGACACAACAAACTGGAAAAGTTGGACGTGAAATTCAGTGACCATCAGAAACCTCCTTTAAGGCAAAGGAAAGGGTCCATATTTTGGCATTGGGTGGAATAATGATTACTAAGTAGTAGGAAGGAAACAGCTGGAAACAGCCAAGATGCCCCACCACTGAGGAATGGACTAAGAAAATGTGGTATGTATACACAATGGAATTTTATGCAGCCATGAAGAAGAACGAAATGTTATCATTCGCTGGTAAATAAATGGAATTGGAGAAATCATTCTGAGTGAGGTTAGCCTGGTCCAAAAGTCCAAAAATCCTATGTTCTCCCTCATATGCGGACATTAGATCAAGGGCAAACACAACAAGGGGATTGGACTTTGATCACATGATAAGGCGAGAGCACACAAGGGAGGGGTGAGGATAGGTAAAGACACCTAAAAAATTAGCTAGCATCTGTTGCCCTTAACGCAGAGAAACTAAAGCAGATACCTTAAAAGCAACTGAGGCCAATAGGAAAAGGGGACCAGCAACTAGAGAAAAGTTTAGATCAAAAAGAATTAACCTAGAAGGTAACACACATGCACAGGAAATTAATGTGAGTCAACTCCCTGTATAGCTATCCTTATCTCAACCAGCAAAAACCCTTGTTCCTTCCTATTATTGCTTATACTCTCTCTACAACAAAATTAGAAATAAGGGCAAAATAGTTTCTGCTGGGTATTGAGGGGGTGGGGGGAGAGGAAGGGGGCGG